AAGCAATTAAGATAAATAAATGCATGCCCCAGGATCAAGCTGGTGTGGTTCTTGCTCATGAATATGGAAGCATTCTTGCGAAATGGGCCGGCAGTAATGAAAAAATGAAAAGAATACGTCAGGAACGCTATGATCAAGGGCTTACTCTTCCTCGCGATAGGCTTTGCTAAGGCAATGAGAGACTAACCAGGAAAGTCTTTCAGGACATGGAGCCCTTTTTGAAAACGGTTTTTTGCATGATAAAGGGGCACATGCATGGAGTACAAAACTAGGCTCCATTTTTTCTGAGCGGCCCTCCTGAATGCCAAAAGGTATGAAAAATCGGTCGAGGGATCGGTCCCGGCTGATGACAAAATTTTGCATTTCATGTTAGCGCATGTTAAATGACTCCAAATGTTGCCGCCGATAAAAATAGGTACTGTTCTTACAATCAGGGTCATCATCAACCTTTCTGATTAGCTTTCTGCCCAGAATTGGGGCGAAAATTGTATGGCGCTAAAGCGGCGCCGAGTTGGTGCCCGAGGAGGCTAAAATGGCGCAATATCGCGCCTCCATCAAAAATGGACGTCAGATTCGTAATCAGCGCCTATAATTACCCTTATAGCCGCAGTTTTAGAGAAGATCAAGATTTCGGCCCGAATTCAAAAATTGGGCCATGGGTTAGCCCATAGTCAGTACGGCATGCACGCTTCCCACTTGGAGACAGCTTCGAGATGATAGCAAGCGGCACGTTTGGTTGATAGTTACACTTCCACCGCAGTTCCTGCCCATGGGGCAATCTGGCATCACCCTTGATCTCGTCGATGCATGGCGTATGCCTGGGTGGGCACTGGCTACGTCCTGGACATTCCTCAACGCCGGCAATCTGCCTTCAAGGGAAGTAGGTGTTCCTTGCGAAGAAAATGACAACTTGCACTTTTCTGGCGTTCGTTAGATGCAGTTGGTGTGATCCGCGTCTGTGATTCAGATGCTTCATTGAGTTTTACCATAACTGCTAGTTATTTATTGCTTGTAAACGGAATTTCGTACACAACTGAAAAACATGGTATACGAAATATCGCAGAATTGTGGGTAAAGATTTCGAAAATGACACTTATAGGCGTTAAGTTCACGCGCGAGCACATGCGACCCCAATAAAGCGCGCCAACCAGAGTCCATCATGTTATCCACTCAACCATCCCACCACCTGTGGTAGATGATGTCGACGACTCTGATGAAACTTCCTTGTGCTTTTGAGCACTTATTATGGTCAATTTTTGTTTTTGGCTTTATTCGACGTTGTTTTCAATATCGAAGGAAACCTACTATGCGCCCACTCAACGCTACGAGTGATATGAACCGCATTGAAGGTCTGAAAACTTTTCCGAAGAAAACGAAGAAACGCGATTTCCGGAGAAACATTTTTTCACTCCTTTTTTGGCATTCAGAGGGCCGCTCAGAAAAAATGGAGCCTAGTTTTGTACTCCATGCATGTGCCCCTTTATCATGCAAAAAACCGTTTTCAAAAAGGCTCCATGTCCTGAAAGACCTTCCTGGTAAGCGCGGAGAGGAGAGTATGGGGCGAGAGGGCGCCAGACAAGGACCTGATGAACGAAGAAAATTGCAGCTGCTGCAGCTTACTTTGCAAGGCCCTAGCGCTTGTTCGGTGATTTCCGTGCACGGGAATGCCACATCTGTGATTGTCCTCTGGGATTCTATCCTACAGACCGAAGGGAATTGTTCACACGACTTCTGCCTGAGCAGGCACAACGTTAGGGAAATTGTTTTTTTCAATTGCATTACGAATTGGTCACTCTCACCCTGAAAGTTATTGGGTCGGTCTCTCTGTTCAAATTCAAATTCAAATTTATTACATTTTATTTATGTTAGGGCGTTCTCAATCGAAGAATAGTAAAGAGGGATCTATCCTGGCTAAATTCCACTTGACCTACAAACACGTCTTGAGTAAAGGGCGGTAGCCATGTAGTAAACTTGCTTCATGGATATCGGTGAAGTATGCTTTCAGTGTGTTGATCGAGTTTTTTTTTATGCACTGCGCTTTTGAAATCCGATGGGAATTACAGTACTTTCACTAGGAATCCGATTGTAGATAAAATTGAAAAGAGGAATAGAATCAAATGCATATTTGGCTTAAACAATGAACTATGAGGGCTCATGACTGAGATTTTATGTTTATTTAATGTTAGGGCGTTCTCAACCGAAGAAGAATAGTAAAGAGGGATCTATCCTGGCTAAATTCCACTTGACCTACAAACACGTCTTGAGTAAAGGGCGGTAGCCATGTAGTAAACTTGCTTCATGGATATCGGTGAAGTATGCTTTCAGTGTGTTGATCGAGTTTTTTTTATGCACTGCGCTTTTGAAATCCGATGGGAATTACAGTACTTTCACTAGGAATCCGATTGTAGATAAAATTGAAAAGAGGAATAGAATCAAATGCATATTTGGCTTAAACAATGAACTATGAGGGCTCATGACTGAGATTTTATGTTTTGAAGTGAGTTTGGTACCATTTGTGTCACACCGAGAGGTGCAGGGATTGAATAGTCTGCACATTATCCGATCCGAGATCCTTTATCCGGGCTATCTGTACTGTCACCTGCCACTCCATTACCTTCGCTGTAGAGGTGGGATGAGATACTGAGCTTATTCATTGGATAACAAGGGAGATGTTATGGTTCCCACGAACATGTGCCCCTGGAATGCTACGGTCGTTTTCTTTTCATTGAACGAAGTCACTGTCTTCATTTGCGATAGTTTATTGCTAAGTGGTAGTGAATTTAATGACTCATCTATCAAGACAAAAGGCATATTTGTATTATCCTGGCATGAAAAATGCACGAAAAGTGAATATTACCTGCGAAGAGGGTAGCTGTTGCAACAAAGACAGCTATATTAGCCAGCCTTTGACTTTACGTCAGGTATCTGTAATTTTTATCTATCTCGTCTTCGTAAGTAAAACTTCATTATATAACTTGTTAATCGTAGGCGTTCGATTTTGCTGACTTACTCGTCTTCATCAGAGAAAGCTGATTTGGGAATGCTGGACTTCACCATCACTGGAGATTTCACCAAGACTTTCAACTGGAATGTGAAACAGCTGTTCGTATATCTTGTTGCCGAATATGAGACACCAGAAAACGTGAGTGGTGGAGTCGACAATTTGGTTTATCCTCGTGGATGAAAAT